GGCTCCACAAAGAAAAAAAAATCTTTGAAGTAGTTCTATAATTTCAGTTATATTCTATACCTGACTGTACTGTAAATCGTTTGGCCACTCTCTTTGAGTTTCTATGACTGTGGCCAATGCTTTTTGTGTGTGTGTCACTCAACACTTGGGTGTTCCCTTATAGGATTACAGGGTCAAAAGAGGATGAAACCATGCTGACAGGATGGCTCAATGGCTCTTCCAGATTGGTTTCTATTACTAGCCAAAAGCAACTTGGGAGGAAAAGCTTTATTTGGCGACATGTCCATCATGAAGGGAAGTCAGGGTAGGAACTGAAGCACAGACTGTGGAGGAGAGCTGCTTACTGGCTTGTTCCCCATGGCTTTCTCGGCTTGCTTATACAACCCAGGACCACCTGTCCAGGGACGACACTGCCCACAATGCCTGGGCCCTCCAACATCAACCACTACCAGAAAACACCCCACAAACTTGATGACAGGTCAATCTGAAGGTGGCATCTTCTCAGTTAAGGTTCTCTCTTCCCAAACAACTCTAGTTTGTGTCAGGTTGACAAAAACTAGCACAGCGGGCAAAGTGCTTGCTAGGCAAGCGTGAGGCCCTGAGTTTGACTCTACTGTCCACTTAAAAGCTGGTCATGGCCCCACATGTCTGATCCCCGATCACCTGATTCCAAATCAACACACAGAGGCTTATATTACTTGTAAATGTTCAGCTGATAGCTCAGGCTTATTACTAACTAGCTCTTACAACTTAAATTAACCCATTTCTATTAATCTACATTCTACCACATAGCTCATGGCTTTACCTGTTCTCCAGCATGTCTTGCTCCCTCTGCGGCTGGCTGGTGTCTTTCTCACTCTGCTCTCCTTCCCATCATTCTCAGTTTTGCTTTCCCGCCTACCTTCCTGTCTGACTACCAACCTGTCAACTTTTTATTAACATATTCACAGTGTACACAGAAGGATCATTCCACAGCACCCCAGCACAGTGGAGGTGAAGACAGATGCATTCTGGGGGCTTGCTGACTAGCTAGCCTGTCTCTGTGTTCAGTGAGAGATTCTATCCCATAGAGCAAAGTGGAGAAGCCACTGAGGAATACATCCCAACATCTACTTCTTACAGCTTTACACACAACTACGTGGAACATGCGCCCCATGCACATATGTAACACATGCACACACCACATATATGCATACATACAAACAGACAGACAGACACACACACACAAAAGACAGTGAGTCCAAAAGTCTGGACCCTTTGGGCTGGGGATGTAGTTCAGTTGGTAGAGTGATTGCCTAGCATACACAAGGACCTTGGTTTGATTCCCAGCACCACATAGACTGGGCATAGCAACACATACATGTCTATAGTCCCAGCATTTGAGTGGTAGAAGCAGAAAGATCAGGAGTTGAAGGTCATCCTGGGCTACGTAGCAAGCTTGAGGCTAGCCTGGGCTACATGTCGAAAAAGGAAAAAAGGAAGATCACAGAGATGACTTTCTTTGGCTGGAGAGTACAAGGCATGCCAGCAACATTCAGCCCCAGAATCCCTGAGCTTACGAATACCCTGGACAGCTCCTTTAACACCCTTCCTTTTTTTTTTTTTTTTTCCCCAAATAAAAGGAGGGGCAAAGGTTTAATTCACTTGTCATTTTTTGGCAGTTCTCAGCCACTTGTCCAGGACACCCACATCAGCCCTAGACAAACCTCTCTGAGAGCAGTCTTTGGTCCAGACTTGGCCAGGCCCTCAGACTCCAGGCTTGGGTTGTTTTTAGAAACTCAATGGCATCATAACACAGAAAAGGGACATGCCAGATGACCAGCCAGCCAGCTGTGTTCTTCTGGTTCTCAGAAGCGAAGGCCATGTCCTTCCTCATCAGCTGACCCTGCCTGGTAAAACAAACCATCTCTCCCTACCCTGGGCTGAGCTGTGAGGTTTAGAGGAATGTCTAGGAACTGGTCGGAGAGGCAGTAACAGCTGGAGTGTAGCTAGAGCGATGACTTGGTCAGCAACAGAGACCTGAGATCAGGTCCTGGAACCCATGTGACAAAAGATGGATGTGGCAGTGCACACATGGAATCCCAGCACTGGGAGGCAGAGACAGGGGGATCCCTGGGGCTAGCAGGCCAGCCAGTCTAGCTGAATGGGCCAGTGAGAGAGCCTGTCTAAGAGAACAAGGTCAGAGGGGCTCGGGGGATGGCTCAGTCCTCTTCCTGCAGGACCTGAGTTCAGATGCTGGTACCCACATCAGTTGACTCACAACAGTGTGTCATTTCAGATGTAAGTCTGACACTCTCTCCACATACCTGCGCTGATATGCACATAACCAGCCCTACACACACACACACACACACACACACACACACACACACACACACTTTAAAATAATAAAGATAAATCTTTAAAAGAACAAAGTTGATAACACCCTAGGAACAATTGTTGAAGCTGACACCAGGCCTCCACCCACATGTGCAGAAGACACACACACCCTAACCAGGAAGAGCAAAGGGCCACACAAGAGCACCTAGTCCTTTTTTGTTGAAGACAAGACCTCCCAGGTCTGAGGTTTATTCTGCAGACCTTGTCAGAGCTGTGTTCATATTCTCTGAGCACACATCAACAGACCACTTCCTACCACAGCACCTGAGACCGCCTGAGCCCTGGCTCTGGCTGCAGCCTTGCTCAGGAGCATCTCAGAAAGCAGACCAGCCCAGGCAAGGAGAGCCACTGCTCCCAGCAACCCATGAGCCGTGGGAGCTGGGCTCCAGATGTTCCGTTCCCTTCTTATTTTGTCGTGTCTGGCCTCGTGTGCCTAAAGCAGGAGTCTGATCTTTGCAGTCTGATCAACCCTGGCTTTGCTCCCTTCTCCCCCCACATCACTTCCAGTGCTCCTAGCACTCCCCCGCCCCGCCCCGCCCCAGCTCCCCATCAAATCCTTGCACCAGAATCTGTGCTTGCCACGGCCACTCAAGTCTGTGACGGCAGGAGCCTAGAGCTACTGGTCCACATCCCGAGGACTAGCGGGCAGAGATGGACAGGAAGCGAGGCGGGGCTAGATACCTGAAGACCAGCCCCTCAGAGATCCACTTCCTCCAGTGAGGCTCCACCCACAAGCCTGTGGGCTACATTTTATGAGGCCAACTGTAACACCAACTGAAGACCATGGTAGCCTTTGAGGAGTAACTGTGGGACTCCCCCCACCCAACCTAAGCAACC